CTGGGACACAGCAAAGTGAAGTGGGAAGCAAGCAGGCAGGTGCATATGGATGATACGGATGCAAGGATCCAGGGTTGGTGGAAGTGTGGCATAGTGACTACATCTCTCAGGGTCGGACAACCACATGTGGCCACTCTACTAGGCAGGCACAGGTTCCCAGCCAGCAGGAAGGTGAAGGTGGAGAGAGGAAGTTGTTTTAACTTTCTTTATTGTAGAAAAGGCTACTCCCCACAGGAGGCACGACCAGATTGTAACCTGATTGACACTAACCCTACACAAATGCAAGTTGATATACAATCTAACTGCCACACTACCATGGTGTTGTAGAAGCAGATAACTCATATTCTAGGATTCATAAAACAAATGGAAAGAAATTTTACTTGGAATGGAATATATATGCCCAGAGTCTAACCCAAACTTGATTTCTGTTTCAGACGCGGGATTTGGGGCTTAAGTTTGAATGCTGGAATGAGTTCAGACTTTTTCCCCTTCCAAATTAGGTGAGAATTTACATTTTAGATCATCATCTGTTAAACCACTCATCAGATGCCCCATTAATTCACCCCTCATCTGCTCCCTGATTGATCTACTCCTGTAAAGAGTTACAGTCGTGGAAACTTACAGCAGCAGGTTTACCTACGTGTTTTTGGTGTTTGGTTTGCTTGTTTCTGTGGACTACAAACTCCCATGTCACCCAAGTCAATACTCTTCAACAGTCTAGCCCAAGGGTTGGCAACTTTTTGAGATGAAAGAGCCAATCCTGTCTGTCACAACAATGTAGGAACTACTTGAGAGCCACAAATATATTTTCATAAAGAAATGAAATCACCATTATCTGAATAATATTCTTTAAAATTTTTATAAATGAACTTCAGAGCCACATATACGTACATAGATGGACTAAAATTTGCTATTCAACTCTCTGACTTCATCCTTTCTTCTATTTGCTGTAGGAACTTTGGGAGTAAAAGTTCCATGGTCTTTTCTGACGTCCACTTTGATCTTTTCTTTCTTGCCTGTCTTTTCAATGTCCCTTTTGCTTTCCTCATGAATGATGGTCTTGATGTCCTCCAACAGGTCATCAGGCCTTCTGTCATTGGTGCTCAATGCATCAAATCTGTTCTTCAGTTGTTCTCAAAATTCAGGTGGGATAGACTCAAGATTGCATTTTGGCTCTTGTGAACTTTTAAAAAATATTCTTCAGCTTTATCCGGCACTTACATATGAACAATTGGTGGTCTGTTACAGTTACCACTGGTCTGGTGTTAGCTGCTGATCTTGAACTTTTCCGTATTCTCTTCCCACAGATGTAGTCAATTTGTTTTCTGTGTATTCCACCTGGGGAAGTCCATGCGCATAGTTGTTTTTGTGTTGTTGAAAAAAGGTATTTGCTGTGAATGAGTTATTGGGTTTGCAAAATTCTATCATGTGGCCCCCAGCTTCATTTCTATCACCAAGACCATATGTTCCTACCACTGTTCCTTCCTCTTTTTCACCCCACTTTTGCATTCCAATCATCAATAATTATCGATGTATTCTGACTGCATATTGGATCAATTTCTAACTGAAATCCTTGGTAGAATTCTTTAATATCTTCATCACTGGCTTTTGTGGTTGGGCCATAAATTTGATTAATATTTGTACTGACTGAATTTCATTGAAGGTGGATAGATGTAATACTATCACAGACAGCATTATACTTCATGATTTTTGCAATATCCTATTTGATAATGAATGCCACCCCATTCCTCTTGATTGTGGTATTCCCAGCATAGTAAAAATCATATGATTTTCTGATGCAAAATGGTCAATATCAGTCCATCTTGGTTCACTAATGATGAAGATATAAATCTTTATGCATTCCATTTCATTTTTGAGAACTTCCAACTTTCCTAGATTCATACTTCTCACATTCCACGTTCTGATCACGAGCAGATCTTTGCTGCTGTTTCTCCTTACCTTGTCTTGTGCTCCATCAGCATATGAAGATCCCAGAAGCTCCACTCTCACGGGCTTTACCTGACTCACATCGCCATGGTTGACTCCACTCAAGAGGAATCCGCTCCCTGTCACACTTGGGGTGCCCTTGGAGCTGAGAGGCCCATTCTCTGGCACTGCCTCTGACATTGTTCTGATTCATTCTTTAGCCTGTTAGCTATGCATAAGAGTTTGCAGTGGCTCCTTCAAAGTGAGGAGCCAAGTCTGTTGTTTTCTGTGTAGTCTGGAAGCTCCACTGAAACACGTTCACTTTGGGTGACTGCAGGGATTTGAAATACCAGTGGCATAGCTTATAGCAGCGGTTCTCAACCTGTGAGTTGTGACCCCTTTGGGGGTCAAACGACCCTTTCACAGGGGTTGCCCAAGTCATAGTAGTAGCAAAATTACAGTTATGAAGTAGCAACAAAAATAATTTTATGGTTGGGGGGGTCACCACCACATGAGGAACTGTATTAAAGGGTCATGGCCTTAGGAAGGTTGAGAACCACTGGCTTACAGGATCACAGTAACACACAAGCCACTATAGTATGACCAACTGACAGACAAGTGGTGGTGTAGCACATTTCCACAGTGGTCACACATAATTACATTCTCACAAGCAGTGTATAAGGGTTCCATTCTCTCTGTGAGCCTCGCCAGCATTTGTTCAGTTCTTTCTTTCTGCTGTTTGTTTGTTTAACTTGGCTGATGGTTAGGGACTATGTCAAATAGACATTCCTGGGTACAAGCAGGGACAGAGCTCAAATCTTTCATTTTTGTCACAGCCTGATGATGACACCTCATTGGTATCATAAGCCTTTTTCTCTAAGAAGGAGAGACCAACAGAACCAAAGCTGCTTTATTCCATCGCCTTCTACTGGACCTGAATCCTGGTCTGGTTCATCTCCTATTGTGTTGTCTGCCAATCCCAGGAGTCGTCAGCGACTACCAACAGCAGATTCATTCAGCTAGCCTTGGACTTCTGAATCCACCAGCCTGTGACCCTGCTGTCTCAGCTTTGTCATTCTGCTTCCTGTTCATCAGCTTCAAGCTAGGGAAAGTCTGACTTGAACCAGACTAGATTTACCTCTTTCTACAACTGTGTAAGCCTTTCCTGGATCTAATTCTCTTTCTATGTATAACACATACAAGTGTCACTAGTTTTGCTTCTCTAGGGAACCCAAGCTAAAATAGGCATCATTGTCAATGTAAAGTGATATCAATCATTGCTTTGATTTGCCTCCCCCAGATGGCAAGTGATCATGAGCATTTCTTCATGTATCTGTTGGCCATTTGGGCATCCTTTTGGTGAACTGTTCTTGTCCTTTGACCACTTTCTAATTGACTTGTCTTTTTTGTATTGAGGTATCGAAACATTATATAGATTTTAGGGATTAATCCTTTGTACATTGTATCATTATCAATAAAATGTCCCCACTCCATGGGCTCTCTTTTTTACTTTAAAAAATGAAGTCTTTTGATACACATGTTTTTAATGGTCTTGTGCATTTGTCTCTTCCATGATGGAAACTGTGAGACCACAACCTGGTTGCCCATCCCACATGCTCTAGCTGACTCTTACACTCTCCAGATCGGGCAGCTACCAAATGCCATCCAGATCCTTTCCCCACAACCCCCCACCCAGATAGGGACTAAAGTGGTGCCATCCAAATCAGCTCTATGCCCCTGTCCAGCAGGAAGCAGCTACAGGGATCTACATCCCTCAACTTCCAATAGAATTTTGATGGTATTACATGAGAGGGTAATGATAGGAAGGCCAACTAGGCCCAGGGGAAGGGGACAGGAGCACCATGGAAGGTATTCCTAACACAAAGTGATGAAGACACATTTCCTTTACCAATATCTTCCAAGCAAGAGGAAGGTGGGTGGCAAAGAAGACACATTTCCTATCAATAGTTTCCACGAAGAGAAGACAATAAAAGGATGGAGATGGAGATAAGCAGGGTAGTCACACCAACCCCACATGATTGAATCCACCTTTGGTGGTGCCTGGCCTGGCAACAAGAGCACAACATGAACTCTGGGGCACATGTGTCCCATCTGTAAAAGGGAGGTTCACTATGAAAAGGCAGCCAATAGCAGAAAGTCCATCATGTCACCATGAGCAAACAAAAGGCTAACGTTTCCATCCCAAGTATCCCTCAGACTTGCTGGGTGCCTGTCTATACATTGGTGCTGACTTGTCCCAGTAATAAGCACACTTACTCTGTTCAAGCCTATTAATTTCTTGTCTGAATACCATCACTCATCTAAATAGTCTGTTGCCAGGGTGACAAAAACTGATAGAGGAAAAGCCTGGTACCGCTAGCCCTCTCCAGTAATAAAATTGATACATAATGGATCCTTGTGATAGTAGAATTGTTCAGCATCTTGACTTGTTGTAGGAGTGCCCCACGGATGAAGTTCTTTCCCTTGCCCAATTAAGAATAAGAATAAGTTTGTCCAACTGACTGTACAAGCCAAACGATTTATTGAGAGAAAAGTACCTTGCAAGGGGAGACATCCTAGGGGGTCTAAGGGAATGCAGACCACAGTCACACCTAACATGGGAAAAAAACAGGTTTTACCAGTGGTTAAGTGGAAAAGGCATTATGTTAATTCATGAACAGGGGTGGAGGAATTGGATCTACATGGGTGGAGTTATGGTAATTGAGTATGTATGTAACAGATGTTCAAAAATGGAATCCAATGTAAAGGCTTCTGGATAGGGTGTCATCACTTATTATAGGATGCTCCACATGAACCAAGAAGCTAATTTCTCAGGTTTCAGTCAGTTCTCTGCCTGAGCATTCTTTGCTCTTTGGTTCAACTCAAAAGATCAGGTGTCTGGTCTGTACCTGCTGGTCAAATGGGTGAATGCAACAGAGTAAGGGTGTGGAGCTAAAACACATTCTTCTTAAAGGGAAGAAACACACACTGTTCTTTAGTGG